TCCAAATATCAGTTGTGATACTTATCATTTGATTATGCATTGCTTCAAATAACTTAGACTTCTCCAACACATATAAATCCCACACACCGGCCGCAATTTTCTTCCTATTTGGAATCTTGAACCGAGGTTGAGCCTCTTTCATCATATCAATGTACCCACTACCTTCAACCACCTTAAATGGTTGATCATCCTTAATGACAAACATCACAACCTTTAACTCAAGTTTTTTTTGGTTAAAGGTGTGGGGGACCAATCCACTGCTCATAGACTCATTTGTTAAGATCCGTTGATTATTATCCACTTTCATATAAAGAGATGAGTCTTTACAAGCTTTTCTAAGGTGATTTCCTATGCTTGATGTCCCATTTGTCCCAGGATCGGCCGAAACGTCTTTTTTGCAATATGAGCGTATTTCCCTTTACTTAAGGTTCTTTTCACTCTCTTAGCATGTAACGAACACTCCGATCGCACCCACTTACATCTTCATATTCATCGGGCACATCTCTCTTACCATTTCCCACACTTTCATCCCTTTCTCCTTGATTTTGTTGTTGAGATTGTGTTTCAAGTGTTTGGGGTTAAGGTTGCGGTTGGGTGGTGGAAGGTGTACTAGTAGTACAGCCACACAAAGATTTGCTTGTCCTAGACTTCATCTTTACCTAATACCAAAAATAAAACACAACATTATGTCGTATACACATCATATTCAAATATAGTAGAAGCTAATTCGTATACACATCATACCAAAAACAGTACCCATTCCAATTGTATCAATTAAAAAGCAAACATAAAACAAATCATGATCAAAGTAATTAATTAAAGTTGTTCAAGGTAAGCAAAATCATGCATCACCTTTAAAAAAGTTATTATCAAAGTAAGCAATTGGATTATGGAAAAAGGAAATTCCCTCTCCCTATATTTATCTCACTTTTATATATGAAATGATAGTAGGCATGCTGCATGCATCCCACACAGCTCCAAATTTCACACCTTTTTGTCACACATGGACACACCCAGCTAAAGCTAATCCCTCCGCCCTTCACATTTCACACCCAAAACCTCAAAACTAAACCCAACAAAGCAAATTATACAAACTCAGCAACCCAAAAGCAGAAAAGCATAGAAGAAAAAAAGATATGCATCATTGACAAGTGATAACTCGATCAAAAGGTCATGCAATTCCTAATCGATTGAGTCTAATCCATTTAACAAATTAATTACAAATCCTCAATTTATCAATTTAGGGTTTCTAAATTTTTTTTTTTTTTTTTATCTAACTCTAGAGAACTAACCTTGATAGACAGAGTCGCGGGAGAGACGAAGATGAGATGGATGAGACTGTTCGACAAGAAGTGTTCGATGGGAGAATTTGAGATGAGTGGGTGAGTTTTTGTCTCCAGCATAGAGAATAAAAGTAGAACGGCTAAAATGAGAAAGAGTGAGTGAGTGAGTAGTTTGTAACTCTGTATCTGTAGGGTTTTATTTTCAAATTATTAGAATATTATAAATATGTGTTATATAATTATATATTATATAATTTATAAATTATATATTATATTATATTTTCGGTACGGTATGGTACGGTAATACCGTGGTAATGGTATCCATTACCGATTGGCACAAAATCGGTATGGCACGGCAATTTGGCAAAAAAATCCACCCCTAGATGGTACTAAGCATGAAGAAAAAATGACATTTAATTAAGAGCGAGAACAAGGTCGTAATTTGAGCAGAAAAATATAAATAAAGTTGTTTCCATCGCATAACAGTAACTAGTCACAGTACTAATTGGCAAGACATTCATATTGAGGTATATTAAGCCTCTAAACATTATCACGTAACAAAAAGAAATCCTATTATTTTATCATCCAAACCTACCTCATCTCCCCTCATTCACGTCAAAAGCCCAAGCACCCCATTTTTTTCTTGTCGTCCAAAATAGTTTGGGATGCTCATTCACGAAGACCTACAAACTATCCGGTTAGTAGATGCGATTACGAGACAAATGCTTAGGGTTAAAAGGGTAGGGAAGACCTAGGAAGACTTAGAAAGAGACTTTAAGAAAAGACTTAGAACACTTGCATCTAACAGAAGAAATGACACAAAACCGAACGCAATGACGTTTTAAGATTTATATAGCCGACTGCACTTAGTGGGATAAGACTTTGTTGATGTTGTTGTCCAGAATAGATTGGGAGATGTCATCTCCTCTCATCTCAAATTTTATCGGATTTCCCAAATGGAACTACCACCTCTCTAAATTTTCTAATAAAACGATCAACATAATCAAAGCAAAGGATAGGATGGAAATCGAACATGCGACACATAAGCCTAGGTGTTTTTGTTTCCTCATGTGATGGGGTTGCCCCTGCAGACTCACTCAATGTCTCCCACTGGATTTGGTACACCTTATCTTTGAACACCATTACCATTTACATAACAGCTTCGAAGATATGAAGCTTTGCTGCTTTGGGGTACGCAAGAACGGTATTACATTGGCGTTCGAGTTTCCACTTTGGCTAGCATCAGTAGTTTTTATATTGCAGATTTGAAGCGTAAAAATGAAAAACCGAAAAACAACGAATATGGCGGGATGCGCGTTTCTTTTGACAATTAAGAACAGATGAAATCCTAGATTTGATTCATCTTGAAGAAACTAATGAGGAAGCATGAGTCTGCAAAACTCCATCCCAAATTACATCAATGCATTGGCTCAACAAAAACTTATTTATCCGACGTATCTGAGCACTCACAACTCACCAAACCAATGCATGCTTCACCTCCCAAAACAATTTCAATGAAAGAATAAACATATGAAAGAATAATGTTAGACAGAATGTCGTAAAGATTGTCCAAATATTTGAAATTACTGTACGAAGCAGCTTCAGAACGGCTACTATGTCAAGACGTCTTTTTTAGTCGAATGTCAAGACATCAATTTAATGACCTGAGGTGGAAAACTTGGCAGTTTGAGACATATGACATCTTTGTTGCTGCCTCATTTAACTTCTTGGCGGCATCATCATTCTCTTCTAAGCTAATCTGACCAAAAAACTTAGACCACCAGGATGTGCTCCTTAATTTAGCCTTCAGAAAGAAAACACGACAATATGTCAGTTATTCTGTCTATAAAAACAAGCGATGCAAACCCTGACAAAAATTCAAGACAAGGTAGAATGATAAGAAGAATCGTCTGAAACGTTCGTCCTTCCCTCCCCCAAGAGGAAAGATACATATGGACATTACTCTCGCATAGGTAAACCTTAAGGCCTCGTTTGATAGGCAGGACAAAACTTGGATAGGACTATTAACTACATTAAGGCATTTTGAAGGAAGAAACGGAAACTTTCATATTTTCTCCTAAGTTGAAGGTTACTCATTAAGAAAAGATACCCCTAATAGTCTCCACAAAAATGGTACGATTGAAAGGGACAACTTTATTCATAAGTAATCTTCAACTTAGACAAAATAAGGAAGTTGCCATCCATTTCTCCCTTCAAATGCCTTCAATACAGTGAAGATAGTACTATCCAAGCTAATCCTCTCTATCAAACGAGGCCTAAAAGTTTTGATATCCCAATAAACCAATCAAATAAGAAAACAAAATATTAAAAAGCAGAATGGTGTAAGGACATGGACAATGAAAATAAAATATCTATCCATTTGACATGTTCAAGGTTCATAGAACAGGCAAGATATATATGTACAGCAGTTACTTACCGCCCTCCCAAATTAGGAAACCTCAGCAGCTTTAGCTCTCTGCTTGCGAGGATAGCCTGTATGAGAAATATCAAAAATCTCACTATGTCAGGTGGATTTGTAAGTTCCTCCCACCAAAATGCGAGTTTTGTATTGCTACTTGAGACAGAGAAAATACTATGTTCCTAACAAGAAAGAAGACAAAATATTCTCAAAGAACGAGAAATACATCTTCTACATTGTAAGAGGCAAAACCAGGTGAACGACATGGGAGTCAAAAGACACATTTCATCAAAGATATTAGAGAAACCTTTTGTCCACATTCTAGTTCTTTGTGACATGTTTATTTACCCTTTCGAAGCAAATGATACCATTCAGTATCATAATCCACTATAAAATCTTACAATACATTGTTGCAAATTGTTACAAGACAAGACGGGTCATAGAGCTCTCCAAATCCAAACTTATGTCATATTTGCTGTAAGACGTGGATTCGGAAACATGTAAATTGAGTTATGTTGGAATAATCATTGCTCCAATTGAGTTAAAGTTAAGAGATCATTGATCCAATTGAATTAAAGTTAAGGATCATTTCTCCAGTTGGATTAAAATTGAGGGATCAATGATCATAAACTAAGGAATTATTACTACAATTTACTTTTTTTTCTCTTTTTGGTGCGAATATCTAACGGTCTGGATAGACGAAGAAAATTAGTTTGGGCCTATTGGGCTCGTGAGCCAAACGGCCCATAGTCACCCATGTCATCAAGATTCGGCCTCTTGACTTGCAATTTGATTTTTAGTCTTTATAATCTTTTAAACGTGTTTATTTTAATCGTTCAAATTCTCTTCTTTTTTTTTCTTTTTTTTTTTTTTTTTTGCTAGTTTTATCCACTTGAAATTGTGAAAGCAACTCTGAATTTGGCTATAGCCGTTGGTTCTATCATCGTCTGACGATCAAATATGTTGTAATAAAGTTCAAAGAGTATATCTGATCTAACACTAAGTACTATAATCAATCCCGAAAAAATAAGAATAAAGTACCAATAATATATGCAAGAAAGTAACAAAATAAATAAATAAAAAGGTGGGATGTATGCAAGAAAGTACCAAAAATACATGAACAATAAGGTACCATATCAAGTAAAGAAGGTAGTTTATATCTTAGAAATAACAAGTATCATTTTGATTCATGACTTTCTAATTCCAAGTACGTATAAAACTTTTTTTTCCTTTCTTACTAATAATTAGTTGGGCCTATTGGGCCATGATCCACTAGCCACCAATCAATAGGCCCAATTCGTGAAAAGTCCAATCTTTCTGCTTTTGAAGAGCCAAAAAGAAGGGGAAGAACCCCAACCATGGTTGCTGGGTTTCCTGAACATTTACAATCTGCAAAGAGTAAGAATTGCTGAATTCGATACAGAAAGTTTGAGAATTTCCGGGAAAATGAGCTGCGGCGACGACGACCGTGATCGGAGCAGGAATAGGAATGGACCGTGGACTCCGCCAGGCAGACCGTACGAGGCAAAAGCGGAAGACATGAAGATTTGGGGGATTCTGGTGTTTGGTCTAATTGGCGCCACCGCCACCACTCTCGCCGTAAGTTCACATCTCTTCATTCCTATATGTTGTTTTCTTTTGTCCAATCTGCAGCATTTATAGAGAATTAGAATTGAGAATTGAGAATTGTGTGGGAATTTGGCAGGTTTCCCAGCTTCGTAGGACTGTTGATTGGGTCTACGCTCAGGTAGATATCATACAAGTAATGGGTTTATTGTCGATTTTGTAAATTCGAAACCTTTTCGTTACTCGTGAACCGAAAATTCAAAGCTTGAAATGGAGTTGAAGAAACCATAGTTAATGTAGATGCAATCCTGCAAGTCCTCATTGAAAAGTGATGCTTTTTTTTTTTTATGTAGAAATTAATATCTGGGTATGTTATAATGTTAGTAGTAGTTAATGGAGTTGATCATGTCTGTGATTGCATGAAAAAGTTGTTCAGATCGCCATCAACGGGGAGACGAAGTGGCAGTTCATTCCGGACATCTTTTCAGGAGGAAGCATGGAAAAGATATAACCGTCGCATGCAAGAGGAGTATGAAGAAGAAATGGAGAGGGTGGTGAGTTATAATTCCTCTGTGTTGTTTTTCTATTTTCTTCTCTGCAGCTTTCGGTTAATTTAGCACGCTTGATCGTAAAAAACCTGATTAAAAATAGTGGCTCTACTCTCGTATTTTAACTCTGAGAGTGCAGTTTTCCGACCACTTACTATGATTGCTGTTTTCCCTAGTCACCACATTGCGTCACAAAACCCTGCTCGGTGCTGAATTTGATATTTTCAACTCCAATTCTTGTTCTTAGTGCTTGCCTTAAAATGTGAAGCCTTTATTATAGGAACATTCCTAATTTGACTCAAATGGGGATTTTTGTCATGGATTTTTCTGTCATCTGTAGGAACGTATTAGGCGTATGCAAAGCGTGTTCAATAGAGAGAGGAGCAAATACAAAAGAACCTATGAGAGCTGGAGGGAAAACGGTCAGGGTGGGTATCATCAACAGTTCCAGCGAGAGGATTGGTATTGGAAGACTGATACATCCTTTAAAGACCGGAGGAGTAACTACAGGGAAACTCCCAGAGAGAATGCCAACTATTTGTTATCACATCACTACTCAGTTTTAGGCCTTGACAGGTAATGTTAGTGTTTTCCGAGACCTAATCACATTCATAACTGAAATTGATCTTAAACTATTTCCTCACTTTTGCATTCTTATGGACTTTGTCTAGTTGTCTGGGTCAGATCTGAATTGACATGCCGTCAGCTGAAGTTTTAAGAAAATAAAAATATTGAACTTAATAATTATGTTGGAAGAATAGAATGGGGATGGATCTTCTAAGCTTTCATACTGATTTCCCTCTCTTCTTGTGGCAATTAACAATATGCTGGCTAAATTTTTGTTGATAGTAGCTAGCTCCTAGAAGTAGTAGATTATTCGTACGCATGTTTAGATTCTCTGTTGTTTGTTTGATAAGTTTGAACTTCAGTACACAATTAGGTATCCTGTGTTGGAATAGCACATACTCAAATTCATGGAGGTTTGCAAATATGTTGCGAGAAGCCAAACCTATCTCTGTCAATGATATTTTTTAGATTCAAGCAATTTAAGTGAAGCAAGATTTACACATTCTGTAAGAGATAAAAGTTTCACGCCGTAAAGTTGGATTAACCCTGTGATCTCCTTTTCTGTACGTCTTTTATAGTGAATATCTTGCTGACCTGCCAAGTCGGATATCTTTTGTTTTAAGATGTAATGGTCATTCTTGATGTTGATGGATTCTCTTTGCAATTTTGCTTGTGTCCTCAAGATCAGGTCTGCTGGACATGTGTTTGCATGAGCACTCAATCCGATCAGTAACAATGAACTTGACGTTTTCACTTCTTTTTTAACAGGTTTAGAAAGGCACCTTACACGGACGCAGAGATTAAGGTATTTCCCTGCAATCTTTGCATACTGTTCAGATCTAATATGTTTTTCCCTCAGTATTTTCCCCTCTTAATCCAACGACCTCGACAATCACTATGTTGGTAGTTTAGAGTTTGATGGGATGTATTATGTTATATTCTCCCATCGCCAATAGTAATAGCTTCCTTCTTGCAGACAGCATTTAGGACCAGGGCGAAGCAGTTTCACCCAGATCAGAACCAAAACAATAAGGGTGAGTATCATTGACACATTGCCGATTCCAGTAAGCCGATGCCATTGCTTTGCATTGAAGTTTGGTTTTCAAATTTTGTTGCAGAGGCTGCTGAAGCTAAGTTTAAAGAGGTAATGACGTCGTATGAGGCAATAAAGAAAGAGAGGGGGAACACGAGTTTGTGAACCGGCTGATAAAGCTGATATTTTGGAGAAGTTGAAGCACGCTAAGGTTGCGGTAATCAACCGGGCACTTCCACATTCCTCTGCACTACACTAGTAACGGCAAAACATAATCCCGAATAGGTTAGTCTTCGCCTTTCGCCATAGATTTTTTTTTTCTTTTTTTGAATAAACGATATTATCTACATTAAGAGGGAAGAGGTAGGCTTAGCCTCACAGTGAGCTAGAAATAATGTGGTCCAAATTTGCCATTGGCGAGAATCGAACCTAAAACCTCTCACTTACAAGTGAAGAGGAATACCACTAGATCGTAGTACTAAGTGACGATAGAATTTGAAAGTTTGTTTTTTAATGTTGTATCATGCGGAAATAAATGGCTTTTTTTTTTTTAATACCGTCATAAACAGAGGGCTATGTATTTGGCTTAACAATTTTTCACATTATGTAATGTATATAATTCAGTTCTATTTCATGTGTTCAGTGATACCATTAAGTTGATTTGTCGCATTTATCTTTTTTTTAATGGGATTTTTCTTGTGATAAAAGCAATATCGAGGAAGGGAAAATTCGAACTTGGGGCTACAAGCGTAAGAAAAAAATAAACGAGTCATATGTAGGAGATTCGTATTTTTTCTTTCTATTATCTATGTGAAAAGATAAGGTATGAATCTGTGTTTAAAATATCGATATGTAAATTTATGAAAATTATAGAAATTTGTAATGGGATGAGTATATAAACTCATTCAGATTTAGTCGAAATTAAAGAAAAATATCTCATAAAAAAATATAAAGTTTGAAATCTAGAATAGATTTCGGCAAAATTTTTGTAATGAAATCAATAAATATTTTCGATACACATTGATTTTGCTATATCTCGTCGATATAGAATGTCACCCCAATTTTCATATCAATCCTTGTCTCTTCGAAATATCCCCAATTTCATGCTGTTTTAAACACTGAACACAAAGAAAGAAGAGTCCTAAAAAGCAAAATCTGCGGTTACCACAATAAATCTTTCTGTTTTTGGCATTAACCTCCCCCTCGACTTTTAATGAGGAATGGCCGGGGGCAGTCCGCATCGGAAAATCCTCTCCCGACAGTGCTGTTTTCTCGGTACCATCAATTTACGCAATCTACTGGTCTTCTTCATCTGCTTCTCGCTTAAGACAGGCGCTCTGTAATATGCCGGAACAGTTGCAGGGAAAAACATTTGTCTAACTCCTTCTGCCTTGATTATGGGGAAGATGATTCCTGAGGCACTCTGCAGCAGAGACAATCGTATAAACAGAAACCAAACAAGAAGCAAACCCCCCAGATAAGTCTATTACGACGAAGGGGGAAAGAAACAATTTTTGCTTACCGAAATTAATCTGGCTCCAATCCAGGCACGTTTAGGTGATGGAAATGGCAGCAAAAGACGACCAACACCATACACTGCGACAGCGAAGAAATGGAGAACCAAACTCGAAGGGCGAGGGTTCAAGCCCGAGAGTAGAGAGACTGGTCCCATAGAGAATACACCTCCGAGACTTAGATAGTCAAAGCATGCCTGGCGCATTTCCTTCCTTGCTTGATCAGGTGAAGAAGAAAAGACCTTGTAAAGGGCACCAGCCAATGTATTTATCGTGGATGCCACTGGCTGCAAATTGGAAGATTATACAGACAGTGAGCTAAAGTTTATATTACAATGAGACACAAAACCGCAGCACATCCTGTTTTTATACACCGGAAAATTATTACGACTTACCTTGCGGAGAGTGTAGAAGGATTCAAGATATTTGGACAGTGTAGATGGATCATTTAGGTTGCCCAAAGGCCTAAGAAGATTCCGCAGCACAACAATATCAGACAAGGCCACAGTCATTCCTCCGCCTGTTAGAGGGTGGCGCATGTTGAATGCATCCCCCATCAGTAGAGCTCCAGGAGTAGGGTAGGGAGCGGCAGGCATGCTTCTGTTCGGCATTGTCCTTATGGTACCCTTATCCACTGCAGCTATGAAGGAATCATAAATTTGAGGGGGAATCTGCAATAAGAGAGGAGAAAACTTGAATCAAAATCCTGAATTTAACAGGTAAACAAAGTACGGAGAAAATGAATGTTAAATAACTAAACTGCAGAGCATAATATACGTACCTGGGGAGCCACCACAGTCTTCAAATACTTTGCCATTTCACCATTTGAAATGGAGGGAACTTTTTGTCCCGGTACATCAACCAGACAGCGAACCTCCGTGCTACTGATTTGATAGAACAAAATAGGAGAAGGGTCTGCTAATATAACATGTCCGTGATTAGCATGTGGAAGATTGCAATTCTCCAGGATCAACCCAACAAAACAAGAAGGCACATCCACCTGCAGAACACAAAATTAATAAATAAGAAGTTGATCGGAGATGCTACGCATAAACACGAGTTGAATGTTAATTCTTCTTTTAGTTTCTTTGCCGACATATATAATGCTATCAAAATCTTACAATCCAAACCTCACCTTAGGATCACAAAGAGAGCGACGCAAGTTGGAGAAACAGCCATCACAAACAATAGTAAGAGGTGCATATGCGGTCATCTCTTCGCCAGTTTTAGTCTTGTATTGCACACCTTTAATTGTTCCCTTTTCTTCAAGTAGCGAAGTAACTGTTCCTTGCTCCAATCGAACACTATAGAATATAAAAGACAAAGGAAAGAATAACTACAAGTGAACAGAAAGTCTTCAAAGAAAGAAATGCACTGAACATTAGCGCATGAATCTCGCAACCGAGTCAACAGGCAGAAACAAACACTATAAAAGAAACCAACATTTAATACGTATCAAGTTATCACCAAGGGAGAAAGGACATACTTGGGAAGAGTTGCAGCCTTCTCCCGCATCCTCTGTATGAAACGGCCATTGTGAAAGCTCCTTCCAGACACATCTGAGTGAAATTTCTCCAAGGGGTAAGAAAGTTTAGTATTTTTCCCATCCTTGAAAAGAGCATATCCAAAAACCCGCTGAGCATCAATTTGCTCCACACAATCTGCAGTCAGATATAATTCAAAGCTTATTAACTAATGATTTCTTCTGTAATTTGAAGCAAACAAAACTAATCATTTAATCAGTTCCAACGAATTCATTAACGACAAGAAACTCGCTGCATAACATATACATCTGCATGGTAAGAAGTTCGAACAAGCTTACCTTCTAGTCCCAGCTCAATTAATTTGAGGTAGCCTCCAGGTTGTAGCAGCTCGCCAACAATTCGGTCAGGCTCTGTCAAGTCTCGTTCAATCACATGCACCCGACGTCCATCCTGCACTTCGAAGTACTTTAATCAATTTCCAAAAGGAAAAGAACTGGCACTAGAATCTAACCAAGTAGACGAAAACAAGCCAATTTCCTTTGCCCAAAATGGCATCTCCCATTCTCCCTCAGGGCATCTCTTCAGCTTTAATGAGTTTTCGCATCTCCCTTAAAAGTAAGGATACAATATTCTTTTAGATCTAAAAATACAAACACGAAAATGTAAGTGCAATGCGCGTCAAAGCTTAATTTCAATCTACGACCCACGATTGTAAGCTTGAATCCGGTCAGTAAGACAAATCTCGAAAACTGCAGGCTTTCGTAATTACATGACCTGGAAATGGCACCAAACGGATCATTGAGTCAACGTTTTTTTCTTTTTGGTCGGAACACTATGTCCCGTTATACCCAGGAGGATTCTCGCCAGATCCTCTTAGGATCTGGAATCCTCTAATCACATCCGCTCATTGTATATCTGCGGTAAAATATTATTATAAAATTTTAATTTAAAATTGAATATAAACAATATCTGACCAAAACTGACGGTACAATGTACAACGAACAGATATAATTGGAGGATTTTCAAGATTCTCACAAAATAGATCTGGCGAGAGAATCCTCTCCCCCGTTATACACCCATCGTAATGTTTAAAATAATCTAAACAAGAAATATAAAAGCTTGTCAAAAGATATATTCTTTAGGTTGGTACCTGTACGAATTCGACTTGAACAGGCTTGATCCAATCAAAAGGTCATACGATTATCAATTGAAACTGTAAAATACTAATAGTAACTTCAAACAAGAAAATCGCTCGATCGGATGTGTTTTAAATTAACAACCACTTACAATTTCACAAATGTAGCATAAAAATTTCACAACCAATATGTTCATAACATAACGTGTTGAACGTAACTGTTCGAGTGATGCAATACCCTCAGCAGAGACTCGAAAATTATTCGACACCATGACTTCAAATCGAACACGGTATCTTCATTCATAATTCAGCTTGATTAAGAAACTCATCAGGATTTTTGTTTGTTAAAGCTTAATTAACAAGGTCATTAGAGTAATTCTGTATAATGATTCCATATGAATATGCATGTGTACGTCGATGTCGCTGTATAATTAACCTTTAATATATTAATTCAAAAAACCGCAACTTTTTCAAGAGCGTTTCCTTTTTTGTTTTCCCTTCGAATTCAGGCGAATTCAAGCGCGTGCTTGGCAATCACAAATCCACATTGATTCAAACAATTAACAACAAAAGTCGAATAAAATGTGTTTGTTTCCCGAGAAAATGCAAGGAAAACAGAGATTCAATTCAATATAAGCATTTTAATTTCCCCTCACCTTGCCGAGAGTGTGAGCGAGAGCGGCGCCGGCAACACCAGCTCCGACGATGATGACGTCGACGTCGCCGTCAGTGGATCTGCATTCTCCGTTGGAGACCATCACGCTCTTCACGCACTCGCTCCTCTCCTCCTCCACCAAAGCTCTCCCTCTCTCGCCGTTCCTCCTCGCCAGCGCTCTGCACAGAAACATGGCGCCCAGCACGGTGGCGAAGATCCATCCGAGCAAGTACTGATCCGCCATTCTTCCTCCTCCGAAACAACGACGCTTCTGTTTCTCTGCGCGCGGCCTTTTGTGGATGCCAAGGCCTCACACACACACACACACTCTCTCTCTCTCTCTCTCTCTCTCTCTCTCTCTCTCTCTCTCTCTGTGTATTTCTGGAATATTCGGCGGACTCTGCGCTGGCGAACAGCGTTTTAATTTTTGAATCTGTTTCGAGTCCGTTACAACAAGGTCACGAGGTGACCACGTTTTATAGGGCATCCCCACAGGTCACCACGACGACGTCAAATATACACACACGCACAGCTACGCCGATGCTCTTTGCGAAATACGAATCCGGACCCTAGTCAGGATTTCGAGGATCCGTAATCATATTCGTTCAACGTATATTGTACGGTTAAAATTTATTTTAAATATTTTTATTTAAAATTAATTAAAAATAGTACCTGATAAAACTAATCATATAATATACAATGAACAGACATAATTTAAGGATATATTCTCGCCAAAAGGATCCGAAGAGTATCCTGTTGGGCGAAATACATCCGTTTTGGTTGGATTCTGATGTAAGTCCTAACGTGAGCCACGGCCTATGTGAATGGTTTATAGCTTAAACTGCGAGCATTAGGACCCAGTAATGTTGACTGGTGGTAACCAAGAAAAGAAAAACAACTTCAGCGGTTGGGATGATTCATGATTATTCAATGTTTTAATCGGAAGAAGAACTTACGTGTTAAGGTATTCTTATTCAATGTCTTAATTGGAAGAAGAACTTACGTGTTAAGGTGACATACTGTTCTAATAAAACGATCGATCTAATGGTATTTTTTTTCACCTGTAAGAGAGAGGTTATAAGTTCGATTTTTATCAAAAACGAATTTGAATCACATTATTGCTAGCTCATTGTGAGATTAACTTCACTTCATCCCGTTAGTGTAGATAATATCTTTTGTTAAAAAAATGATGAAATGTATAAGTTTTTCAACACATGTCGTTATTTTGGCTCAGAACGCTACGCAATGGTCAAATCATTTCCCGTAAGTTGCTTTTCTTAATTTGAGTGATTTATTATGACAGTCATCTTTATGGCTAAAATTTAAAACCAAAACAACTTAGCCTAAACTTTATTATGACAATCAAGCCAAACTAAACCGAAATGAATCAATTTTTTACTGAACTAACAATCGAACCAAACCAACTTGAATATGTTTGGTTCACAGTTTTCATATGTTAAACCAACAGTTCAACTGAACTGCATACAGCTGATGTACACAAGTAACCCTCCAGCCTCCGGCCCAGGGCTATTAGCCAAATGGTCATGAATTTTTATAGTTACTCAATATTTCTCCATAGTGTTCTACTTCTACTTGCGTTTATTTTTCGGCCTGCTATTCTCTTAATTTTTTTTTAAAGTTAACCGAACAAAATTAAACTAAATCATTCTTTAATAATCTGTAGCTTAAATCTTAAGCTATTAAAAAATATATAAATAAAAATAAAAATATTATGTTTCTGAGTGATAGCTTAAAAGAATTAAAATCCTTCAAATTTTCAATTGAATACATCCTCCTAAAATTTTGTAACTTAGATTTTTAAGTTTTGCACATGACTTTATAAATCAATTTAAACATTCTTTCTACTTGTTTCGGTCAATGTGAACAATTCGATCAAGATTTGTTAATTAATTCAAATAATTCTACAAATTACGTCAAACAAATAAAATATTTTAGGGGGAGACTGGATTAATAAAATAATTTCAGGAAAGAAACATTAAAATATCCATAGGACCATAGCCCTCGTGAATCTGATTTGAAACAATAGTTATACATTTGTTGTTCCGGGTTATCTCGGACTGGACTAGCCTTATAGACTAAACTGAACTGACTTAAAATAGACTAAGGTAGACTAAATTGACCTCGTTTGACACACAGTATTAAGCATCGGATAGGATTAATAATACGGGAGCGGGTGTTTGGAGACTTACGTACTAAATAGTCGCCGGACTAACGAATCCGGTCCAAGTTAATTAATACGCCTCACACCCGCTAGTTAGTACGCTCAAAAAGCTTGGTATAAATTAGTCAGCCTCACCCCTCTCGCATCTGCTCCGTCATCTCGTGTCTGTTGCTGGAGATTCAGAGCTAAATCAGCGGAACCACTCCCGCTCACACCTGATCACATCATCTTCCTCATGGGTGTTTTCTCGTTTCATCTTCATCGTCTTCCTCTTTCTGCAATTTTCCATTTTTTTCTTCTTTCTTTTTCTCGTTTTCTCTCTATCTTGTTTCCTCTAGTTTGTGATCTTTTCTATTTGATGGATTTGTGATTCTTGATAATTTGTGATTTTTTTCTGTTTGATGGATTAGTTTGTGATTTTCGTTTTGGTATGCGTTTCAAAGGGATCTCGAATCTCTGAGCACTTCTCCCCTGTTCGTCCTTCACTGGGTTTCTTTTGATTTTTTGATTTTTTTGATTTTTTGTGATTTTTTTTGTCGAATTTATTTTAATTTGAATTATCATTCCTAAAATACTATTAACAAGTAATTAAAAAAATATAACATAATCGATCCTATTAATACAGTGATTAGTCCGATGTTGCATCAAACATCCGATTAATTTAGTCAATACTATACGACGATTATTTATCATATCCGATTAAAATAGTCAATACAATCCGAAGTGCCAAATCGTTTAGTGTGATGTCAAATTAAAAAATTGGATAGTTAACACTAAATAATATTATATTATTTAATACATATTTAATAATATTTTATAACAACCTTTTTCCTTTTTTCTTAAAACCTACTCTCTGTAATATTCTCTCCCTCGTTGGCTCCATCCAATTCCCTCATCTCCTTATCTCCTTCTTCGTCTCTCTGTCACTCTTGCTCCCCGAAGTTACTTTCTCTCCCCTTCTCTATCCATTTCCCTCATTTCCCAAAGCAATGAGATGATATGGATTGTGATTCATGCGTCGGCTTCAAGCAAACAGCTCCCAGATTTCAAAGAAACCCAAACTCTCCTGCAACGCTTTGATTCTCCATCTTAAATTCCAGAACAAAATAATCATCTCGGAATTTTCTAAGAAAAAGGTGAAATTATCCGATTGGGGATTGTTGTTGTTATCTTTTGCTTCTTCTTTTTTTACTTTCGAATTTTGGTGGTTAGCTTTTGAGATCTACACAGTGGTGTGGCCGCGTCGGCTGTGGGCTGTAGCTAACGGAGCCGCATAAGAAAGAAGGCAAAGCCCTGGGAAAACGAAAGCTCGGGTTTGATCTTGTTTCCTAGTCCCGCTTAATACCAAGCGAAAGCTTGGGACTCGTTAACGAGGTTTAGTGCCAAATGCAAGATTATAGTTCTACTTAAGTTACTCCAAGCCAATCCCACTTACGAAATAATCGAACTCGAATTAAATACTCAAATACATATTAATTTTTTTCAGTTATTTTGATATACGAGATAAACTTACGTACAATTGAGACACTAACGCGACGATAAAGTATTTAAAACTACCGCTTGCGTACTTATAGCTTATTTACACGCAATAAAGTTATTTTACACGCGCTACTCTATATTTTAACTTGAGATACAACCATGTGAAAGTTTTAGTTACAGATGAGTTCTTCTCCAAATATATAAACCTCATATTTTCGACAACGACAAGTAAAATTGATGTATCTCATTAAAAATGGAAATTAATTATCCTAAACCATCTTGTCCCCACCCTGGCAAAGGTTAATTACATAGGAAGTGATTTTCCGCACAAAAATGATACTCTTCCCGCATGTTCCATATCACATTTGTATCATCTTTCTAATACAGATGAGACTCATATGTGTTGGCGAGTTCTATCTCTATTAGAGAGATGATATAAATGTGGTATGAAAAATGTGATAAGTGTATCATTACTCTTACTCTTTTCACAACACCGTTTTTAACTTCTCATACACTCTTCTTTATTTATGTTCATCGAATCAAATGGATCAAACAGAACAATTAAGATAAAACAGAAATATGTAAGAGAGTAAAAAGGTGTACAAATCACTCCTCAATTACTTATTGTTTCAACACTTGTTTATTGAATGAATGATCATACATGCGCAAAACCTTTTTTCAAAAAAAAATTTGTCAGTATGTCATTTTTTCCTTAAATTATCAGCGTAACAGCGTAAAATCATGCATTATTAAGCATGGACCATGCAGCAGTTGGACCACCATGTAGCAGTTAGTATTAAGCCAATTAAATTTTGCTGACAGAAACAAAAAAAAAATTGGACATAACTGGATGCTTGCTAGTAATAATATGGAAGAAGAAATGCACGAGAGGATGACTGCGATAATTACATTAATATATAATAATATTAATATGTGATAAGTGAGAGTGACCAAGTACAAAAAGAGGAACCACATCAAGTGGTCCAATGGTAAGAGCGCGGATTGTAACTCCCCAATAAATAAATAAATAAATATAGGAGGTCTCAAGTTCAATGCTTTGAGCTGGTGAGTTTGCCCAATAAATAAATAAATGTGGGAGGTCTTAAGTTCGATGCTTCGAGCTGGCGAGTCTGCTTGATTATGGTCACAAACAAGGTAAAATTTCCTATAGCCTCTCTGGTCCGGAAGGAGTGGATAATCGTGGTTTGCCACCAGTTGTCCCCCTTAAAAAAAAGTACAAAAAGTGTACATAAGCGTTGAAGAAGGGATGTTTTTGGGGTCCTTAATAGTTAAATTTTGGTTAAAAATACAAAAATTAAGATTTAACGGTAAAAACCAAGGTTCTAAAAAACGCTAGACGCTAGTCGGGCGGTGGGTTGGAGCCTAGCGCCTAGGCACCTAGACGGACTAGGCGGATTTAAGTAAATATATTGTATTTTGTGTAAATAAGTGTTTGTTTATATTTAAAATATATATAATTTCATCATAGACTAGAAAATAAAATGACATATATATTATGAAGTATTGGACAATAATAAAAATATGAGGAGCAAACATATAATGTATGTTTATTTAAGTGTTAAATAAGTTTCTTATTGACGTGTTTAAAACTAGTGAAGGTTCTTGAAATATAGTTAAAGTTTTGATCTCTATATATAAATCTTCCAAATAATTACACAATATATTATTTAACAGTGGAGTGGGTAATTATTTTTATTATAATTTATAACTTATAAGCCCAAGTAGTAATTACATAATATATTATCTAATAGTGAAGTGAGTAATTGTTTTTTTTATAATTTATAACATGTGGAAATCAATTAGATAAGATAAGGGGAGTTGGTAGTGGAAATCAATCAGATAAGAGGAGTTTGGTTTCGACGCCTTGGAAATCAGGAGGCTTTTACTTTTAGTTGTTTTGTTTCCTCTTCCAGTCTTCCTCCACTTCTTCGATTGCTCTGCCTATTTCTCCATCGTCTTCTCCGCCTAATTCCCTATCTTCTTGCCCTGCAAAATTTCCCAAAACCTAGTCTAGCGCATCAAAGATCCTCGAAAACGTTACCGGCTCCGGCGAAGAAATCCGAAGAGTCCAGGTCAAATTTTTCGTTTTTTTTTTCCACACAATTGCACTGTTATTCCTTCTACTGGTCTATCTCTCGCTTTCTCTTCCCTCACACTCTTCCGCTCTCTCTCTCTCTCTCAGATTTTATGTTGTCGGCCTCCTCTTCTATGCTGTGTGGTGAAACATCGACGTGTAATTTTTTGACAGAACCGCCTAGCCCGCCCAGTTGGCCGCCTAGACACCGCCTAATACCCTTGCCGATTTATTGAACGTTTTTGGAAAAATTGTGGCGGCAGTTCGACGCCCAGCACCTAGGCGGCCGCCTTGCCCGCGTTTTAGAACACTGGTAAAAACACAAAAATATCGAATATTCCACAACATTTAAAAAATTTTGGCTAAAGAATTCAGCAAGGTAGTTGCATAAGAGGATCTCCAATGGTTGGCAGTGGAGTTGTTTGTCACTTGCATAATGCATTGCATGCCATGACATGTTGGTGATGTTTTATATTTGAGTAATGTTAGGGAGACCAAATTTGTAGACTAAATTTTGTAAACTAAATGCCATGAAATTGATAAGTGGATTATTAATTAAACATTGATAAACGTGCTCATTTTCTATTGGTGACACATCATTTAGTTTGCAATTTTAGTCGACAAATAGTTTCCCTAACATTACTCTTTATATTTTGCCAAAAGATTGAGTCATTATTTATTTAATGACGATATAGATCATTTTATTGTACATTTTTCATAATCATAATTTTTTTTTTCTTTATCATGATCTAAATATTATATCTAGAAAATTCATTTAATTTGGAGACCGTTTAGTATATGTGTTGACATATAAACAAGTAGTTCATTTTTCATAAACATTTATTAAAACAAGTAGTTTCCTCTGATTAATCGTCAATTTATTTGATTAACATGGATGACTAAATGGTATCCAAATCGAATGAATTTATTTTATATAAATAATGTTTAAATGATAATAATGATGATGATAAAGAAAATGAATTGTTCAGATAATGATATTTATACAATAAAATAATGTCAAGTCGTGGTTGAATAGTCAAGCATTTGTGATTTGAGTGTCATCGTGTAAAGACCAAGCCAAGACTAAGGTTTTTGAGTCCGACAACAAAGGCAAGAATATGTAATCCTGTGGCTCTAATTTTCCTTAAAATAAGATCAAATTACCATGTCATTCAATTTCACACTCTATAATAATATGACGTCGTATGTAAGAAGTGATATTCTTTTTTAATTCTTAGCATTAGTCTCTTGCCACATGCCTACACGTGCGACAATTGACTCTTTTTTGTTGTTTTACATTTTTGTTTATTTTAATTTTACTTATTTTACCCTTTTATATAACATTATTTTATAAAATATGTATGTGGTTTTTTCTTGTGAATTTTTATTTCTATTTTTTGAAAATTTAATGAGAAACGTAATTTAGTATTATGAAAGCATACCCTTTTTACATCGGTCCGGTGTGTTACCAAAACTAAGTTTTTATCTCTGGGCCTAATACAAAATGGGTCAAATTGGCCCAACCCTATGGACCCGTTTGGAAATCCATGAAGATTTAAGGCATAAAAAAAAAATAAATAAATAAATAAACAAGGCAGTAATTAAATTAAAAAGTCAGGCCGTCTAATGATATTTTCTTCACATATAAGTAAGTTCGATTCTCGTAAAAAGTGAATGCGAATTTGAATCATATTATTACTAACATACTGTGAGGTTAAGTTTACCCCCCATTTAGATAGAGAAGGATTCTTGCTGGATCATTTTCTTAGGGATCTCGTAATCGTGATTGTTCATCGTATATCGTGTGGTTAATTTTCAGTAGGTACTCTTTAAATTTAATTTAAAATTTAAAATTTAAAATAATTTATGATAGTACTATGTATGATGAATAATCATAATCACAAAATTCTCCGGATCCTCAAGAAAAAAAATCTGACGATGATCATTTTTCCCAAGATAACAAGGTTTGTTCAAAAATAAAAAATGAAAAGGCGGGTTTACCGGGAACCGTTCCACCGCCCAACCAAACAGGCAAACGCCGCAAGCGACGGAAACAACAGCAGCAAATGGAGGTACCTCCTCCTCTCTCCCTCTCACCCTGTCTCGCTCTCTCTTGATTTCTTCTATGCATATGGTAATGCTGTACTAATTTGGATGTAAAATTGCGGAAATTGAGGCCACGTCTGTTGGATTTCGTTTCGGCCTTGGACTATTCCGTGGTGAAATCGGCCTCCGAAAAGGCGTTCCGGTCACTTCCGGATATCTCGAAGGCCATCTCTGATCTCACGGTTCTCAAGGGCGTGGGTCCGGCCACCGCCTCCGCCGTTGTCGCAGCTTATGCGCCCGAGGTGGCGCCTTTCATGTCCGACGAGGTGATTTAATAATTTGGGGTTGCTGGCTGTTGATTTTTGTGTTAGTTGCTTCTGATTTCAGTAATTTCTGCTGTATAATTTCGAAATTAATGTTTGTGTTCGGAATGGTGAAAGGCTATGGTTGCAGCTCTTGGAAACTCCGTAGACTTAAGCAGTACCTGTTATTCCGCAAATTGTAAATTCTGGAAAAGCACTTAAAAGTGCTTTATGAAAGAAACACATAATTGGTGTTTCTCGTAGAAATCACTTAAATGCTTTTGGAATTCAAAAATATTTTTTCTAAAAGCGCTTTCAGTCATTTTAAAAGCATGTCCAAACGAGTGCAGGAGAAAGCAAAGGTCAGTCAGTTTCTTCCAGATTTGTTTTACATCGAAAATTACTTAGACGATTGTTGTATTGCTAGTACATGAGTTAAACCGTGCGCATACTGTTCGAATAGAACCCTTGATTCCGTATTCTTTTAGGTGATTGTTTCCTGTTGTATATTACGTATTTCATTGTCGTAGTTAGTGTATGTTTCCTACCGTAATGTAATGTGATGCGGTGTGGGGCAAAAGTTCTCTATTGCGGCAGTTGTATACGGTTCCCTTTCCTATTTACCCGTTATGTGCTGCTCGTGCGATGAGATGATTATGAGAGGGCGCATATACAATCTTCTCGATTTGAAGACTTTCTCGGGCCTTATTATTCATCCTCATGACCCGCAAAACTGTCATCACATTAACTGTAGGCATTCGTTATAACGGTTGAGTGTGCGGTGTTCAATTATAATGTTCAATGTAAGAAAATTTGTATGATCTGTTCATTTCATTTAGCATGTTGTTAAGCAGAGTCGACTTTTGGTCATGCAAGTGCCTTGTATTTCAAGTCAATCATACAAGTGATTGAGCTGATGGAGCTTTACATTTACATGGATTTTGCTCCACTTTTAAATATCTGTTGGAAATATCTGCAGGACTTGAGCATAGAAGGTGAGACCTTCACCCCATCAGATGTAGAGAGAGCTCTGTGGAGTTGTGCTGTTGGGGCCAAGTTATCTTCACAAAAAGTACCAGACCCCAAAAGTGATACAAGTAAAAACTCCAAGCGGAAGAGAAAGCGTTGATATAGTGCCATGCCATTTAACTGACAATCCTTGTAAGTTTAACTATATTTTTTTTCTTGTCGAAAAGTTTAACTAACTTTATAACCTAGATTAAAATGCCACCGCTCTTTCAGCTGTTCAAGCCAGCATTTTCATCAACTCATGAACAGCCCCCCTGTGTTCTGAATAATATGTTCCAAGTTCTTAGGCCTAAACCTTGTTGCTTCTACTTTGCATTCTACAAACGATGAATCTTCGACCCCAAAGGTAAACATCCTTATCATCATTACACATTAGTGATTAGGTTTTTCTAAGCCAAAGTCTGAACTTTCAAGGCTAGTGATTGATGCACTCCTCGTTTAGCCTCTTACAATCACAAGAAAAATTGTCAAATATTGAATTTGGAGTGCAGATGATCAGTAGTGAACTGCGAAAATTGCTACCTTGAAATTGATCAAAATAGTGTTCTCGTCTTCCATGCTCTCAGTTGCTGGATTCCAATGCATATTAGAAGGGCTTGTTACATTTTTCATTTGACTTCTGTGTTTGGTCAAAAGTCTGCAATAAGTAAATTGGGCTGCAACTTCGGCAACCCAGGAGAACAAGTGCTGCCGTGTCATCGGTGGATACATTGTGTGACTATTTCTCATTACAGATGTATAGACCTGGTGTTATCTAAGATTCTGCCAAGTACGAAATTCAGTTAGTATACGTGTTTGATTAAACTTTAAAACACCCAAATAGGAAGCAAGTCTGAAATAAAAATCTTTTCGACTTAATCACTTGCGTTAGGTACTATGTAGTCGCCTCATCCCATCCTTGTGCTTTCCTAAGTTCACCCGTTTGTCTTTCTTCAACAACCAATAGCGTTAGTGGATAAATTGTTTGTTGCTAGGGAACTTTTATGAGCACTTTATGTTCGTATGACCCATGTCAGATATCTCCGTTGATAAATGCATTTTTGATGATTTGAAAGCACCTGCTTCCTTCTGTTGTGCAGGAACAGTAGTGGAATCGTGACGAAGAAAGACAAACTAGTCTCGTGGGTGATCATAATTCTTTAGCAGTCTCCTCGAGCACGGCAGCCATCTCCAGTGACATTTAAGCGTTTTCAGCCGGATTAAAGTCGCTGGAAGCTGACATACAAGGTCACCAAAGTTCTACAATCTTTTCATACAGAATTTAAGAGTTGATTTTTTTTTCCTTAAACTTTTTTTTAAGAAAAATTAAAGCACCACCAATTAAAACTGTTATAACGGGAAGCTTCACAAAAGCTCTCTCAAGGATTAATGATTCCATTAGTGTGGAAAGACTTCCCTTTTGATGTGGATAATGACATTACTTAACGATGATTTGCTGTCATTAACTTAGCCAAAGCTGTTTCGAATCTCATGATACCTACTGGCCCTCACAAAGATGTTTTTATCTTTTTCCACATCGTATACGACTCTTTCGCTTTTGCATTGTGGTGGGCTTGCGGGGTTTATTCAAGTTTCTTTTTCGTTTGACAAGGTAATTTGACGTAGCGTGACACGAACTTTCGCAGCACCTGACTAGTACGTCGCTCTCTCAAAGTGCTTAACTTGGCATCTCGGACTAATACGTTACCCCTGTCAAGCACTCACATTACCCGTTTTAAGCGTACGCATTATTATTGTTCGCACTTAGTGTTGAAAAACACTGCTCCCCAACAATGCTACATGTTGAAAAGTGCTTACGCTACATGTTGGAAAGCACTTTCGGGTCGTCCGACTGGTACATTGCTCTTTGGTAATGAACGATCGAGTCTCTGAGCGCGTACGTTGCCACACCAAGCATAAACACAACCTCTTCAAGCACACAAACTCATGAAAAAAAAACTATACGTGAGAGTTTCCCTTCCTACGGCTCGAATCATTCTCAGCTGCCCCGACAGGAATTCTTTCCTTGTTTGTTGGTCTTCTTCCAATTATCAACTCAAATCCCAATTGGTCTTCTTACAACTAAAATATATGTTTTCTGATGATTTTATCCACGCGAATGACTGATAAAAATATCAAATAACCCCATCATGGAGCGTCTAAGTTTGAAAAAAACTTTGTGATTTATCGATCGAAGAAGTCGCATGTGGTCTAATATGTGGATAGAGTGTTAGGTTTCTATTCATGTATTCCGGGCTTGAAACTCCTTCATTTTCTAAATTATTATAATAGTTTTAAATCATCTCCCTCCCCTTAATAATAAGAAGAAATTGTAGCAATGGTCCCTCAATTTTAACCAATTGGAGCAATGGTTTCTCAACTAAAAATTCATAACTATTGGTCTCTTAACTCAAAACGTGCAGCTATGGTTCTTTTCGTCAATTTCGTCAGACATTTCGTCAAAATGATCATGTTGGAAGAATCCTTGCTACAATTTGGTTCAAGTTGAGGGACCACTGCTCCAATTGATTTAAAATTGAGGGATCATTTCTCTAATTGAGTTAAAATTGAGGGTCATTTCTACAATTTTCTCATTTAGTTTTCCATATTTACCTCTTGATTCAGCGTCACGTGCGTGACATGTGACTCATTTTGACAAAAGTTTTAATGGAGTTGATGAAAATGATCATAACTGCACGTTTTGATGAGTTAAAAGACCAATGATCATAGATTTTTGGTTAATGGATCATTACTCCAATTTGATTAGAAGTTGATGAACCATTGCTGTAATTTTCTTTAATAATAATAAATTTTAAAAAATAAAAATCGATCCACGAAGTAAAACCAAAGGAGAGTAAAATCCCATGCTCTTTTTTGTTCTTGAAAACGACAGTCGTTTCCATTGTTCCTTCTCCGAAGAGCAACTAATTTGATGGAATAATACTAATATTCCAGAACAAATGGTCCTGATTCCTGAGAGGACGAAGACGTTGTTTGAACGATTCAGAATGGAAAAAGTCACCTAATTCAGACAACAGAATGGGGCAACAAAAGTTGTTAAACCATTTGTGGACCCGCTCCAATTTCGTCATCGCTCAACTCTTTCACTGCAACTTTGACGTGGTAGTTTCTTGCATGATTCATTATCTTGACGTAAAATGATTTATTAACATGTCAGGTTATTATCGGTTTACCTATTAAGGACCTGTTAAGATAATAAGTTTCACACGATACTATCCATTAAGATAACGAGTATAATACAAAAACACACACGAACACACAAAACATAACTCATTTGCCAAGTCTACGACAACTCTTTCAACAATTTACATGCATCCATCACTAAGCTAAGTCAAATAAATTTATTTTAATCGTTAAATTTTTGTTTAAAAATATATAAATTATAATTTTACAGTTAAAACATTTGAAATATATTTTTTTTTTATTATTGGAAAATTGAAATATATATTTTTTATATACCATCCATTTATGTTTTAGATTATGTTTTGAGCTTGACATTGGCCATCACCCAATAATTTTGGCAAAAGAAACCAAGTTTACTTGACCTAGCTTGGTATCTTCAATCTTGGCACCATGTACCTTCAGCCAAAATGCCAAAAAGGAGGACATTTAACTTTTGGGGTGTGATATCCACACACCTCATTTTACTTCTCACACACCTTTCTAAATTTCGGCCGTAGGATTGGATAAATTGAAGAAGATCAATGGACAGAAATTATCAAAGGGTGTGTGAGAAGTAAAATGAGGTGTGTGAATAGCATATCCCTAACTTTTTAGATTATGATATTTTCGTCTAACGATATCTAGGCTTTAATTTGTTGAGAAAGCTTTTACTACAAATTTTATGAACAACGAAATCATTTTTTGCACTCCTACAAGATTATACCCGCACTCGTACACTAACAACACAAAAATTATAGTCGCACTCTTGTTTATGTTCTAACGAAAGGGTAGTGTTTGGTGACTTGATTAAAACAGTAATTAAAATTTTAAACGATATTATATAAACTCTACATATTATAGTTGTCCAGTTTCCATCAGCAAACAAGAACTACAATGAACTTGGACTGTTTGAATCCTCAGAAAGTTATTAGCAGGAATAGAAAAAAAAAAATAGGATTGTGGAAAATATGCACAGCATAAATCCCCACCAGAAAATGCTCAAGGGCTGCACGTTTACAGTGCATAATTGGATGGTTTAGACCAATCAGAAACTTGACCAAAAAACTGAAATATTCATCAGAAAATGACATGTCAATTTTTGATTCACACTGCTCTAATTTTTCAATTTTTTCAATTCAACCACCATTTTCCATTTCAACCTTTCTCCCTTTTCCTTCTTATATTTTATGCAATTGTGCTTTTCATTTTGCTTTTCCTTTTAAGTGGGTCAGCTAAGAATTCGTTCGGAAGTGTTTTTAAAATGACTAAAAATGTTTTTTTGTTTTCCAAATCATTGGAAGTGCTTCCTCGTTAGTGCTTCTTCCAGATAACACTTAAAGTGTTTTTTTTTTCTTAATTTATTTGCGTTTTTACTAAGGATTGGTTTCAAAAACGCTTTCAATCATTTTAAAAGCGCTTCCAAACGGTCTCTTAATATTTTTCTATTTTTCTTAGATTAAAAATATAAGAACCTTTTGAATATAAAATAATTTGACGAAATAGTCCAAATTTAAAATAAAAATTTATGTTTCTTGCAATCGTAAGAGTACACCTAGTTTGATTTTGCCGAACTAATGGGTTTATAATAATTAGTAATTAATCATTGATTAGGGATTCGACAAAGCAGTCTCAGTTGTTTTCTTGCGCTGACGCAGATGATATCAAACTCATTGACAAAATTAAGTTCCACATAATTGTGATATAACTATTAGGATTAATATTAAATTAAATACTAAATATATAGTTAGTATAATTATTTCAAAATTGCAGTAAACTGTCCACTTCGACTGTAATTATGATATGGGGGAGGAATGGGGTGGGGAGGACCTTAGACTATTTCTAAAGGAAATGTTGAATTTAAATATATAAAATTTAAATTTGACGACTTAAGTGATACTTTGATATTTTGTTTTTTAATTTTGTCTCCAATA